ACATACACACACCCCGTCCCCTCTCCTACACATTTGTCGAGGCCTCAGACATCATACGTACCCTCGGCCCTCCGGACCTCCTTGTAGCCAAGGCTTGGGTGGGGGTCAAATGCTTCGGTGGGGCCTTCCTCTTCAGAGATAACCTTCTCTCCGGCCTCCTCATCGTCATCGTCATCCTCCTCTTCTCTCCGTGCCTGCTGCCCTGGCTCCGCACCCTGGCCCTTCTCTCTGTCCACCAGATCCTGGGAGGGGCCCTCGCTGGTCCCCTCAGCCTGGGGATCTGGGTGTTTCTGGCTGGGGAGGCTGGCTGGGGGGTGGGTGTTGGCGACCTCCTCCTCCCCGGGGGCCTGGTTGTCCTCCTCGTCCTTGGACTCCTGCCCAAGTTCCGTGGAGGCCTGGGGCCCGGATCTGTCCGTGTCTTCGCCATCCTCCTCCACCTCATTAGAATGCCCCCTTTTCTCTGCATCCTTGGAGGACGTCTCCTCTGTCCCTTCTGCAAAAAGAATAGAGCAAAGTCGGGCCCCAAGGACCAGGCTGCACCCAGGGTCTCCCCAGAGCCCAGTTTCAGATCTTAGTCATTGTGTCCCTTCGATTCCAACGAGTCCAGCCCGGGACACCCATGACGGAATCAGGGTTACCCTCTCCGCGTCTGGCTTTCACCTGAGCACAAATGAATCGTTTCTTTGTAATTCTACCTCTTAAAGAAGGAGGTGATTTAAAAAAATAAAGACCTCGGAGATGACCCCAGAAGGTAGAGCCTGAATGGAAAATTCGGACATCAGCTGAACTGCTGTGTGATCGTGGGCAAGGCCCTTAACCTCTCTGTGTAAGAGGCACCATTACTGTGACTGCATTGTCCCCTCCACGCGGGGACTGTGTTGAGCATCCTGTGAAAGTGCTCATTCTCCAGTAGCTGTCGTTTTCATCAAGAGGGGTTTTCTTGTGGTTGCTCTGAAGACAGCCTTTCACTAGCAGAAGCCCCGCCCATCACTAGAATGGCTACTGTTGCACAAGCATGACCTCGTCCATCCCACCATCTGGCGCCAGGACTCCTGGCGAAAGTGCTCCCATGCTGCTTACAGAAACTCACACTGATCCTCAGAGAGGTGAGGAGGCCTGGCCGTGCTCCTGAGGTCCGTGACGGCAGAGCTGAGCCCCGAGTCAGTCCCAGCCTCCCGGGGCCGAGTACAGTACAGGGTGCTCTTTGCGCTGACACGGGCTGCTTCCCTTATTGAAGCTTACACACACACACACACACACACACACACACACACGCACAGTACACTACTGCCCCTCCCACAGCCCATGGCTGGTATCCATAGCCATCCGGACACTCTTTCGCATGTGGGAGTCCATGCCATGCCCCAAGCCAGCAGCCGCTGGGGAGATGGCCCTGGCCATGAGGGGGCGCCTGGCCCCACCAGCAGGCTTTCCGAGGGAAGGCCCCTGAGAACCCGGCTCCTGGAAACGGGCCTTATTTACCGCCTTCCGCATGCAAAGGGCAGGGCCTGGCCGGGCAGTGTGTGGGTGTTTGCAGGTAGGAGGATGAGTCAGAGAATCCCCTTGACCTACACTGGGATCTCTCTGACCCCTAAAAGCTCTCTGTTTTCAAGAAAGATGATTCATTTGGTTGGACCGTTGTCCCATACACTGAAAGGTGGTGGGTTTGCTTCTTGGTCAGAGCATATTCCCAGGTTTTGGGGTTCAATTCCTGGTCTCTCTCTCTCTCCCTTCCTCTTCTAAAACAAATAAATCAATGGTGAACATATCCTCAAGTGAGGAGTAGAGAGCAGATCCAGGTTCATTCAGTGTTTCGAACCTACTCCTCTGGGA